CGCTGCCATGTCTCCTCAAGCTGCTGAGAGTTCTCTAAACGCTGCCATGTCTCCTCAAGCTGCTGGATGTTCTCTAAACGCTGCCATGTCTCCTCAAGCTGCTGGATGTTCTCTAAACGCTGCCATGTCTCCTCAAGCTGCTGGATGTTCTCTAAATGCTGCATGTCTCCTCAAGCTGCTGGATGTTCTCTAAACGCTGCCATGTCTCCTCAAGCTGCTGGATGTTCTCTAAACGCTGCCATGTCTCCTCAAGCTGCTGGATGTTCTCTAAACGCTGCATGTCTCCTCAAGCTGCTGGATGTTCTCTAAACGCTGCCATGTCTCCTCAAGCTGCTGAGTGTTCTCTAAACGCTGCCATGTCTCCTCAAGCTGCTGAGTGTTCTCTAAACGCTGCCATGTCTCCTCAAGCTGCTGGATGTTCTCTAGACGCTGCATGTCTCCTCAAGCTGCTGGATGTTCTCTAAACGCTGCATGTCTCCTCAAGCTGCTGGATGTTCTCTAAACGCTGCCATGTCTCCTCAAGCTGCTGAGTGTTCTCTAAACGCTGCCATGTCTCCTCAAGCTGCTGAGTGTTCTCTAAACGCTGCCATGTCTCCTCAAGCTGCTGGATGTTCTCTAGACGCTGCCATGTCTCCTCAAGCTGCTGGATGTTCTCTAAACGCTGCCATGTCTCCTCAAGCTGCTGAGTGTTCTCTAAACGCTGCCATGTCTCCTCAAGCTGCTGAGTGTTCTATAAACGCTGCCATGTCTCCTCAAGCTGCTGGATGTTCTCTAAACGCTGCCATGTCTCCTCAAGCTGCTGGATGTTCTCTAGACGCTGCCATGTCTCCTCAAGCTGCTGGATGTTCTCTAGACGCTGCATGTCTCCTCAAGCTGCTGGATGTTCTCTAGACGCTGCCATGTCTCCTCAAGCTGCTGGATGTTCTCTAAACGCTGCCATGTCTCCTCAAGCTGCTGGATGTTCTCTAAACGCTGCCATGTCTCCTCAAGCTGCTGGATGTTCTCTAGACGCTGCATGTCTCCTCAAGCTGCTGGGTGTTCTCTAAACACTGCCATGTCTCCTCAAGCTGCTGGATGTTCTCTAAACGCTGCCATGTCTCCTCAAGCTGCTGGATGTTCTCTAAACGCTGCCATGTCTCCTCAAGCTGCTGAGTGTTCTCTAAACGCTGCCATGTTTCCTCAAGCTGCTGAGTGTTCTATAAACGCTGCCATGTCTCCTCAAGCTGCTGAGTGTTCTCTAAACGCTGCCATGTCTCCTCAAGCTGCTGAGTGTTCTCTAAACGCTGCATGTCTCCTCAAGCTGCTGGATGTTCTCTAAACGCTGCCATGTCTCCTCAAGCTGCTGGATGTTCTCTAGACGCTGCCATGTCTCCTCAAGCTGCTGGATGTTCTCTAGATGCTGCATGTCTCCTCAAGCTGCTGGATGTTCTCTAAACGCTGCCATGTCTCCTCAAGCTGCTGGATGTTCTCTAAACGCTGCCATGTCTCCTCAAGCTGCTGAGTGTTCTCTAAACGCTGCCATGTCTCCTCAAGCTGCTGAGTGTTCTCTAAACGCTGCCATGTCTCCTCAAGCTGCTGAGTGTTCTCTAAACGCTGCCATGTCTCCTCAAGCTGCTGGATGTTCTCTAAACGCTGCCATGTCTCCTCAAGATGCTGAGTGTTCTCTAGACGCTGCCATGTCTCCTCAAGCTGCTGGATGTTCTCTAAACGCTGCCATGTCTCCTCAAGCTGCTGGATGTTCTCTAGACGCTGCATGTCTCCTCAAGCTGCTGGATGTTCTCTAGACGCTGCATGTGTTGTTGATGAAGATGTTTCTCATGTGGAACATTTGGGGTTGTATACATGCATCCTTTCTGAAGCTACTTCCCCTGATGGAACTCTTTCCTCTCACCCGGCTCCACTTCGCTCTAAAACAAACTGTGAACTTGTTTAACTTAGAAAGTGTGTAAGTGAAGATAAATGAGGTCTCTGTCACCTGTCGGTGTTTCGGGATGACTCTCAGGTCCTTTTTGATGTGAAGAATCATACGAGTGATAAAAGGGGAGAGGACTGTCATATCAAGAGACCCCCCCCCCCCCCGTGTCCTCTGTTAAACTCTGCCTGCTGATAAGGAGCTCTGTTTGTCCTGCATGCAAATCAATTTCTGATAGTTTACGCCTCGGCTGCTTCAGAGAGAACTGAGGGAAGGAAGAGAACATCTCTAAACCTCAATCTGCTTTAGGGTCTCGGTGGTCCTTCAGTGTGTCATCATGCTGCCTTCAGGCACCACTACAGAAGTCACCTCTCTATGTGCTCATTTTGGGTGATTTGGTCCCAGTTTTTAATGTGGACACTGTGTTAGTTGGGATGGAGAAAGAAGTACTTCTACTTTTGAAAAGCTAATATTGAACTGTTTCTCCACTAATAGTGACAGGTTCAGATATCCAGCAGCAGTTTATAAAGTCATGCAAATGAGCTCCACCTGTACCAGCTGTGATGAACACATGAATGCATCAATCATCATTATACCCATTCTGTGATTCTGCAGAACCAGTACTTTTACTGTCTGTACTTTAAGTATAATTGGACGCCAGCAGTTTTGAACTCTTAGTAAATTAGTGTTTTGAATGCAGGACGTTTACAATATTGCTTCTTTCAGTTATGCACAAACTAACTTTAGGGCGCCAGAGTGTTTCCCTTTACAGTCTTTCAAACAGACTCCAGAGGCGTTAAACCCTTCCTGTTTCCTCGTTACATGCAGATGTGTTTGGAGAAAGCATTGAGGCCCCCCTGTTGATTAGCTCAGTCATTATGAATACAAATGGTGGCACTACAGATTAGTGTTGCATTATCTGAAGAGCAGCAGGATTACAGCACATGACGGAGATGGTCTCAGTATCTGAGAGAAGAAGAGAGGCGTTGATTAGAATAATCCAGCATGAATACTAATGATCAGATCAGTGTGAAGCCAGCCGTCTGCAGCAGGATTACAGTTGTTGGATCCTCTGAGAGAAGCTTCTCTGACAGGAAGTGAAGAACTACTGGATTTACTCTGTCCTCACTTTAAATATTCTGGTACGGACGTACAAAGTGCGGACCCAAAAGCACAGGATTCAAGCACAAAGGAGTCTTTACTTGATTTGTTGATACAAGATACAATAATGCTGTGTTTCCAAAAAACATATATATAGATATATATATATATATATATATATATATATATATATATATACACAGACATCACCAGCTGCAGACAATAATGACGAACAATCACCAGGTAAACAGACGAAGGGGGGAAAATGCGCGACAAACACATGAGGAAGACAGACTATCAAAGTAAAACCCCGGAACCAAACAAAAACATAAAACATGAATAAAACTGAAACTTGACAAACATTGAACACAGTTGACGAGGCACAGCATATCAACATGAATACAACACTCCATTCATCTCTGTTCTGACTTCCTTCAACACTAGGATACTTTAGCATGTTGATTAGGAAACACACTGACTTTGGCTAATGACTGCATATTCTGCTGCATCATGGGTAAAGGACAGCATGGTATAAGCAGTGGTGGGAAGTAACTAAGTACATGTACTCAAGTATTGTAGTACTTAGTATTTATATGTAGTGCTGCTTTATTCTTCTACTCCCCTACATCTATCCAACACCCTGCTGATCTGGTGTAATGATGAAATGCATCAATCATCCTAATACACTCATGTGTTATCTGTGATTCTGCATAATCAGTACTTTTACTGTCTTTACTCTAAGTATATTTGGATGCCTGATGAAGTCTTTTACAATGCAATATTGCTTCTTTTAGTTGAGTATAAAGCTCTTCCTCCACCTCAGGATGCATAAAGCATGCTGAATGGTATTTATGGATGAAGTGTAGACATCCTTTCCTTCAATGATTACCATGTGAGCTGCATCATGGGAAAAGGAGCGTGAAGTTTAGGTAGCACAAGAAAGGAAGTCCAGCATGAATACAAATGGATGAAGAAGTGATAAGTATTTTAAATATCTTTCAGCAGGAGTCTGAGGATTAGTATGACATGTGGCAGAGAGCAGGATGAAGACGAGGAAGATTTAAAGAGTGGGAATGAAAGAGGAAGAGGACCTCGTGTTGATGAGACTAAACACATGCCAACGGATGGACAATGGATTGGGATTAGACTTCTGAAAGCTCCTCTGTCCCTTTATCTCCGTCCTCTTTCATCTGCAGGAGATTAGTCCAAATAGCAGAGCGTTGATTAGCGTCAGCTCTCATCCGTGATGCAGGCGGACGGATTAACTAATGCATTTACACATCTGAAATGTTCCTAACACGTGAAGTCTCTGAACCGGACCTCCAGTCGCTCCTCAATCAGAGAGCGAGAGAGAGAGGCTTTCTTCAGTCAGATCTACTGCAGTCTGGAGATTATGTGCATTTCCTAAGGGTTGGAAATACGTTTAGCATATTTTAATACATCTAAAAAGTCCTCTCAGAGTTGGTGAACTTCACACAGTTCATATCAAACCAGAGTCAACATGCCACCAGTTAGGACCAGCAGTCATTTAGTAAGGGATGCATTGAAGCCGAAATAAGAGTAATACTTCCTCAATAAGATAAGATAAGAATAACGGGTACTTTATGGAGGCCAGATTGGGAAATGTTTGCATCCCAGAAGAATACAACAAAACAAAACAAGGCATTGCACATGTAAGAGTAGAAATAAAGAATAGTAGAATTTAAACATCTCAAAATAGAATTAAAACTGCATCACAAAGTTGAAAATGTACAGTAGACCGTGAAACTCTGACAATAAAACACTGAAGGGAAATATACAGGAAGTGAACACACCGGTCAGGTGACACTGAACAAGGAAGTTCATCTGAAATCACTGTGTACGACATTTAGAATCAGTGTGTTGGCTTGATCGATCAGGGTGTGTGTGTGTGTGTGTGTGTGTGTGTGTGTGTGTGTGTGTGTATGTGTGTGTGTATATGTGTGTGTGGGTGTGTGTGTGTGTGTGA